CTACACTAATTTAATATATGTATGTATATCTTTAACGCAACATAAAATAATACCATTTTAATGTGTGTATGTGTGTGTATATACAATAATATATATATATTCTAAAGGGAATATATATACACATATATATATATATATAATTCTAAAGGGAAGGGAAAGAGGTGATTCTACATGGAAAAATAAGCTGAAAATATAGAATATAGTTTTTCTATATAATGCTTCGTTTTTTAGAAAATCGACTTTAAATATTCGATTCAACGGGTCGCGCTGTAGACTATTATTGATACTCACGTTTAAATGTCACAAATTGTAATCACGAACTGTGTAAAAAAAAAAAAATTTATAATACATTATAATAATATTTAAATTTTATTCGTTATAGAATTATCAAAATAATTTTAATTGTAACAGCTGAAACTATGAAATATGATTACAGTGTCACGGAAGATGGTAGGAGTGTATGTGGGATTTGTAATAAGGTGTTCAGTAAGCCTAGTCAGTTACGGTTGCACCTCAACATTCATTATTTTGAGCGGCCATATAAATGCGAAAACTGTGCAGTTTCCTTCCGGACTAAAGGCCACTTGACGAAACACGAAAGATCCGTTTCCCATCACAATAAGGTAAACGACGGATCAAGTTTATTTCTATCGAGCAACGTTATATCTTTTAGTGTACGAGTGTACGAGTAGTTATTATATTATTAGGTCAGTATGACTTCTACGTTTGGTGCGGCGACTACTAGCAATCCCAGACCTTTCAAGTGTACAGATTGTAAGGTAGCATTCAGAATACATGGACATTTGGCCAAGCATCTTCGTAGCAAGATGCATATCATGAAATTAGAATGCTTGGGCAAACTGCCGTTTGGAACATATGCAGAGATGGAAAGGTCTGGCGTCAACTTGAATGATATCGATACTACAGACTGTGATAATAGTCTTAATAGTCTGCAGGTTCGTAATAAAATTATAATTGCGCGTGGTTTTTATATTTAACAAAGGAAACATTGAGATAAAATGAATTTTTTTCTCGACAGATGTTGGCTCAAAGATTAGGCGAAAAGGATCCGGCGAAAATGGCGCAGTGGGATTCGGAAGCTCTGCCCGGACCGGTTGTGAGTGGCAGTGAGACTTCGTCAGATGAGGGTGAGCCTATACCGCAGCACACACTTCATGCGCAATATATGAAAGCGACAACGGACGCAGACATCTCTCGATCATATCAAATGTCAATCGTCCCCGAGAAACCGAAAGCCATTAACGACGTTCGCCTCCGCAGCCCTCAGTTCAATCAACATAGACGTGATTACGCCGTTAAAGAGCAGCGACCAATTCCGACGGTCATTCCGGAAGACGCAAGGTCGGAGGACAGTTTACAATCGTACAAGTGCCAAGTTTGCCCCGTATCTACGCGTACTGTAAATGAGTTACAGGTACACTGTTTTGTTGAACATAATATTGAGACGGATTCTAGTACAAATATTCATGGAGATAGAAGTGCGGGTAAATGTAGGGAAAAAGAGAATACTCAAAAAAGAATTATGGAGGAATCCGTAGTGAAGGAAGATCACAAAAGACAAAGGATAGAAGATACATAGTGCCAAAACAATATAGCGTGCTAAAAGAATTTTTCGAGTGGTGTTTGCCATACTACTTAGAGAAATCGCGATTATAATACTGTATCATATATGGAATGCATCACAGAGATATCCTGATGAAAGTCTCGGTCGTCTTAAAAAATTATTTCAATAGGTAATACTATTAATGATGTTCATATATTTAAAAAAAAAAAAAGAATTTCTTGAAAATTAACGTTGCAAAAATTTAAACGAAGCGTTATTAAAGAGCTGCATGCAAATACAAATTTATAATTTTATGTTGTGAAAATGTTTCGTAAATTTTTGAGAATTAACATAAAAAATATGAATCTGTAACATATTCTCATATGAATGTATATAATGAAATATATACATATTACGTTCATTGACGACGGCGATAAATATGCAGTCTCGAGTATGTTTCTTTTATTAAAACATCATTTCTAACATTGCCTGTTATATTACAAACTATATATAATTTGATTTGTACAGTTTTTAAAAGATTTTAAGCGTTTTCTTTCGAAATCGGCACGTACAACACATAAAGTGAAAAAGAAAAAGAAACGTAATGTGAGTGTCTGATAATGATTATGTAATATTTATATACACGATAGTGTTTCTCGTAGTAAATGAGGTGCAATGGACTGGTATGTGATTCTATATTTAAAGCAGAAACGCGTTACTTTCGACATGTTGAAGAGTATTCTAATATTTAGTATACTTCAAATTGGTATATAAAACTTATACACATATACATATATACATATATCATAAATACATTAATATATTGTTATATTAATGTATATTAATATACATTAATATACATATATGTGCATATGTATATTTGTTCAATATTAAAGTATAAACAATTATGAGAATTATTGTTGACATAAGAGAAAATGTGTTTGTATATATTTATGTATAATATAACGAGAAATCATGTTAGTTTTTATAATAGTTTTAAGAAATCAAGAAGCTGTGTCGGTTGCTCAGATTACTTGTAAATTTAAGCGCTTTTAATTCACACAGTAGATTCTTTAGTTTTCATATCTTAAAAGAGATATTCTTCTAAGCAAGAATCAAGTGATGAGTGTCTCTTGATAAGTTTGATTTTATCTAAAACATTGTTGAATATTTAGTTACCTCGGTATTTTGATATTACTAGTTATTTTTTAAATCTTAATTGAGAGCATATTTGTTATGGTCTGAGGGACCGATTCACTGATTCTGTTTAAGATATAATTACGCCTCCTGTTTTCTCACTGCAGTTCTATTGAATTATCCACAGCGAGAATTATCTAAAGTAGAAAAAAATCATATGAATTTTGTTCGCATTATTGAAATGTCTTTTATCAATCTAGCAAACAAGCAAAAGCCTGCAAAAAAGTTGATTTTTACACGATGTAAGAAATAAACTAAGATCTCGTCGGGCTGTGTGGCTCCGCGGCAAAACGATGGCTTGCTATCTGAACTACTTCGAGGCCTCGGTTCGAGTTCCGGCATCGCGTTCGAGCGTCCGACATTTTTTCTCAGTCTAGCTCTTACAACGAAAAACGATTTTACATGATTTTTAGCTGGTAGTCTTACAATACGACTGCAGTGAGCTACTTGAAGAGGCCATACACCTTCCACAAGCGACAGCTACCGTATCTCATAATTAATTGTCTATCTATTCTACGCGCAGTTTTAATATCTCACTCAAGCACGAAAATGTCTTTCCTATTCCGCATAATCAGACTCCGGTTATCACGGTTTGTACCTAATAGGTGTGCTTGAGCCAGGATAAAAAGAATAATATGGTAAACATAGAACGAGACGACCGCCTAGGTATACAATGAGGTCCAGTCCGAGTGATGTTCACACTAAACGATATCAGTGTAGCGTAGTCTAACATAGCATTTTTTTGAATGTATATCTACTGTCTATAATTCTGTCGACTCCAACTGTAACCGCGTTAACTACATATGAGCTTCCAGAATGTGTACACGGCGTTGTGTGCACGCACCCCGAAATGCCAAGCCAACAGAATTCGCGCTCGCGACGGTATTTGATGAGAGAAACGATACGCTTTTCGCGGAATCGATTTCTGGATATGGCGATCCTTCCACGTGCGCAAAACGCGATATTTTCCAAAATTATACACGCACATCTACGTATATACATATTGTATACTCTTTCTCTTTCTCTTGGCTATCTGCATGCGTACTTATATGTGATTTCGAAGGAGTGTACTTTTTCCAAATTGTAGATTCATATTGCGATATATACATATACATATATATATATATTTTCGAAACGTTGTCGTCCGTAAAAGTATATCACTTCGGTATCGATATATTTTCCGGCGTGCACGGTAGTGAGCGTGTCGTAAAATACATATCAGAGATTCGCCGTTTTCCCAGTGGTATTAATCGGGAGACGGTGGACGACCATGCGTCTCGTCGTTTGAAATCCAAATATGGCGCAGTACAAGTTAGATTTACTCACCGGGTCTCTGTGCTCTGCCCGCGGCGATGATAGACTCTTCAACGACTCCGAACAGCCTCAGAAATGCGCGTTCGTAACTGCGGATGATGAGAATCGTGTTCGCGTACCCCGTCGACCGACGAAAACGCGATTTTACGCGGGAAACTCGACTTGCGACGCGGGAAACTTCGCGCTCGCGGGAATAATGGCCGTAACGGCGCGCCGCGAATACACCCTGAACGTAGTCGCGATTCAAATTTTCGAGCGTTCCGAAAGCGCGTTTTGAATGCCCGTTTCTGCCAGTGCAGTTTAATTTTAATCTTTGCCGTAACATATAATTTTTATCTTTCCAATTCTAAGAAAAGAATCAAGAATAAGTTAAACCGAGATTAATTAACATTGGTAAAAACGTTCCATTTAAACGGCCTCGCATTTTGATTTTAAAACGTATAACTTGCGAAAAACTGAGAAAATTTCTTCATTCGTTACGAATAATCGCTTGATTAACTGATCAAATTTAGATATAATGTTGAAAGAGGCTATCACGAAGTGATTTGGAAACATAGTTATTAAATAGAAGTGATCTCCTGTTTAATAACTACGTTTCAAAATCACTTCGATTTGAAGTTTGAACATATCCAAGTAGAACATAACAGGTCTGTTCGTGTTGCTTGCACTTTTTGCATTCAGTATCTTCGTTTTCTCTCTCTTCAACGCATGAGTATAAATAGTTTCTAGATTTTTCTTGAAGTATAATTTCACTCTGAAAAGTGAAAAATTGAGTTATTTTTTATACAGAGTGGTTGAATTTTTAATCTCTAAGAGTGAGATTTCTCTCTTTAGAATGAGATTCACTCTAAATTTTATGAGCATTTCTACTAATGTACAATTTTAATCTCAATTCAACTTCTTCAACTTTTTCTAAAAATTAGAAAGTGACATTGTTGCGTTTTGTTGTTCTGCTTAAATAATTTCGAATCGAAAGAGATCTTTTGACAATTGTTTTTGTTTCAAACAATGTTGAATTTTGCTGTAAATCGAGAAAGCTGCTTCAATGACGGAGCAATAAATTCATGAACATTTCTAAATGACTGGCAGAAAAATATGATATGCGTTTCATCATAGATATATACATATATCGCTCGTCTGATTCAAGGAGCCCACAGAAAAACAATTCTAATGATCGTTAGACATACGCACAATTTAAATTATAGAAAAGCGACTACTGGATACAATATATATGATTAATAATAATTTTCATGTCTAAATGTGCTGTTGATGTTTCTCTTATTTTGAGATAAAAATCGATCAGTTTTTCGCATTGAACGATCGATAATATCTTATCCTTAACTTCCCATTTCGGAACAGATTTGACTGTGAAATTTTTCAAGAGCGTGCGATTAATCCGTTTTAATTGTATCTCGGTATCTTCCTTTACCCTCGCATACTATTATTATATGCATATATATAAATATATATATATATACTGTACAGTTTAATAATTCGGGTAAATATTTGTTAAGACGACTGGACATACTTTTACAATATTTACGACATTCGGTTAAGTATTCTGTATTGTGATAAGTGCGGAAAGAACCATATGGCGAATATCCTGACTAATATCCTAAAGTAAAAGTACAAGCGTATCTGATTAAAAAAAAAAAGAAGCAGAGACATATTTATTTTGTCGACAGCCGCACATCTACGATTTTCACGAAAACGGTTGGCTTGGCTTGGCTTCTTCCAGACTCAGTATTAGATTTCGCGGACATTGAATGGGAATAGAAAGAAAAGGTCGAGCTTGTACGAGTTTCTAGATGGTTTTACACCAATTTACATTTTACGGAGACAAAAGTCGGCTGCCTCGTCGTCCGAATTTTTGCGATGTCTCCGTAAAGGAAAAAAAAAAAAAGACTCCGCTCCGCTCCATATCTTTATGGATGATTTAAATTTTGTATACGCGCAGCGTGCGAACGGTGACACTTACAAACACCTGGCGGTATAGTATTTTATATGTATTATAGGATCTTTAAGATTTTATAAATGTTTTTTCGTAGGAAAGAAAGAGAGAGACAGAGAATAAAGAGTATGTTCTGTCTCTTTGTGCTCGCGCAAATATGTCGTGTGCGAGCTCCGGCTGCATCGATAAACCATCTCTAGTTCAAGAACGACTTTATCGCGAAACCTCTCGATTAAAACCATACTGTATATCGAGCGTTTACGCTCGTATATATATGTATATATCAGACAATGGGACCGGGTGAAAATTTTATAAGCGTATATACTTGAGAAAGTGACAACGGGATTTATGGTAATAACGCCAACTTGTTTTGCCAGTGTCACCGTCATTTCTCTTCCTCTGTGAATTCTGTTGAACTATATTAATGAGAATGTAATTTTTATTTATTGTAAATAAAAGAAGGAACATTGCTTAAAGCATTTTGTATATTATGTAGTCTGAATTATATGCATGAAACAAATTCTGTTAGATAGAATATTCAAAGATTCTAATGCAAATTATACGAAGAGAGATTCGTGATACGTGTTTGTGTTTATATAGTGGTCTTGCAGGAACGATAGTACAACTCCGGACGCGGGAAATAATTTGGGACAGGAATAAAGTTAATTTCCGGTAAAACACTGCGTATTGCTTTATTAAAAATTAGATGATCCTTACATGTAAAATAAATATTATAACAAATGTAAAGAAAATTAACGTTGATTTCCATCATCCGTAACTCGTGTAATTATCGTGCATCGAAGACAACAACTGAAAGTAAGATTATAGAATAAGATTAAAGAAAATTTCTAGATATTCGATTTTGCTTAGTTATTGTGTCAAAAAATGTTAATCGTGCTAAATCGAAAACATTAAAAGACATACGTCTTTTTGTGCGCTTCTTGTACATGATTCTATATCCACATTCTCTGCATCGAATTGCATCTTTGGCACGAATCTCATTGTCATGATGACATTCTGAAATAATAAGTTAAAAACTTGATTAATGATATGAATTAAGTCAAAAGAATGAAAAGAGTTTTTCATTGTAATTTGCAATTTATCTTAACTATTACATATATAAATACATATATATATCATGTTCTAGAAATTTCTATATTTAGAAAATGCGCTTTAAATACAATTTTCACGAACAATTGATTTAGTTTATAAAAATTGCTAGTCTTAAAAATTTTTTAATATACATATAAATATGATTAATTAATGAAAATTAGCAAGCATTGATACATATCGAAAGTTTTTATTTACTAAAAAGTGAGGTTAAGAAATGGTCATCATGCGTATCCTTACCTCCGCAAATGTATACCATAGCTTGTTTTGGAGTTGATTCCGATTTACTGGATTCCATTTTAGCACTAATCTTCAGAAGTGGGATACAACTTCCCTCAGTCAACTTTTCAAAAAGAAATTTCTCCTCAGAAATCGAAGTTTATTCGAGGCGGACAGCCAGACAGTGGACTTGGCAGGAATTGGAATAGACTACGCCGTCAATCAAGTGTCAATGTGAGAAATTACCACGCGCTTCTCATCTTTACCGACAGTGAACTCAGCGGGATTCGGATAAAAAGATGATCGACTTGGATTGGTCTATTCGTTATTTTAGTACATATAAATCCTCGATAGATGACGTTAGTAGTTACAACAGGTCTGTTCTTTTCAGTTGAATGCCTTTGTTCATCTTTTTTTTCTTTTCCGTCAACATGAAAAGAAATAGATTAAATGTGAACTGTACAAAAAGTTAATTTGAATAGAAAACAGGTCTTAACAGTTGTCGATTTGTGTTATTTTTCAGAAGACAATTAATCACGATTACAATTGAAAATAATACAAATTTTATATGTATGTGTACATATTTATGTATATACATACACATATCAATTAAAATTAAATTATATATATTATTGCACTTTTTATATATAAAAAAAACTGTCTAGATAATCCACATCTGTATTCGTTGTATGAGCTAAATTTTTAAAATTAAAAAAAATTAAAATTTAATTAATTTTAAAAAATTATGTTTTAATTTTCTGTTGACATAAAATGGAAACGATCGATCGTTCAAAACGTCGCGCGACCCACATCGCATCATCAGAATTCGGGAGAGCTAGCGAGAGAAAATCTCCCCGGCAACAAAAGCTCCCAGCATCCGGCGCGAAGCCGGCTCGGCCAATGGCGCCCTTGACAACGAATGGCGGGACGAGGCATCGCACGTGATTCGCCAGTTGCCGCGCGTGGCGGCGATTGGTGGGGGAAGAAGCGGCATACGGTGAGAACAGACTTTACGGACGCGCAACGTTCAATGTGTCGGTGGAACGTTGAAGCGTGTGGGTACGTCAGAGGGAGAGCGCTGGCAAGCGGGTGCGTGCGCACGTTTCTCGCGCGCACCCCCAACATCGCTCAGTGACAATTGGCTAAGGGTGCTGACGCATATACTACGCATATCCATTTGATCATGCAAGCTGTGCGAAGCATTGTCAAAATCGCGGATTTATTTGTGAGAAAATCAATCGCGGTGAAAGGATCGGAACGAGTTGGTCTCTTCTTCGTGGAGCGCCTCTTGTTGTGAATCCTGGAGGGGTAAACTTTCTCTATGCGTTCGTGATCGTCGCCGCTGTAGGAAGCGGCGCAGAGGGTGAGTGGATGAGAAGAGGGGGAAAGGAAAGTAGCGCCAGACGGACAGGGAGCACGCGCATTTCCCGCGCGACGCACGTGAGTACATCGCGAAGTGAGGTGAGTGACAATCGTCAAGTGTCGGCGCGACGGGACCGCATTCGCCGCACTTCACGACCGTAATGTCGGCATATCGATGCGATTTCGGGAAAACTGCGACTGCCGCGGAATGACATTCGTGCTTATTCGTGCGATTCGACGTGGTGAAGGATCTTCGAGTGAGGCGATGACGCGTTACGAGGACGCACGCTTCGTCCCTTTGTCCCGCGTGGCGTAAACAGATTCGCGAGTGTTGTGTGAGCTGAAAATCCAAAACGGCTCCGTTTCGTGCGACGTTAAGTATGGTGCCCGGCCATTGTCCGTTGATTTCTCAGTGATTTACTTATCGCGTTAAAGTGCGTTGTTTCACACGGTCGACATTTAATGAAGATTAACCTGTTAGACCTTAAAAGAGTCCGTAAATACGTGTTTATATACCTATCCCGGTGGATAGGAGCAGAAGCGTGATTATCTTATCTCTACGGTAAACGGAAGGCGAAAGTGAGGTGATCTAGATTTAAAAAAGTTCACCGAAGTTAATAAGCCAGGGTGACAGCTGTTTATTTGCTGATAGGTTCGTACAAATAAAATGTTTAAATGTCATATAATATATTTTCGAGATTTTTTGGAGTAGTCTCACTCTAAAGAGTGAAAATTGAGCTAATCTTTAAGTGACTTGATTTTCGATCTTTGGGAGTGAGATTTACTCTAAAATTTTAGATAGTAATACAATATAATGTAATGTTCGGTTAATTTAGGATACATAGAAGTCTACAGTTTTGCTATTTGATGGCGGTGCGAGTACCATTCAATATGCTGCTTTGGGTGCATCGTTCTCATGACGTCCAGCGGAAAGCGAGATAATCCGTACTAGAAGTCTAAGTGTCCAAATTTGCAAGAGGAAGTCTAAAAGTCAGTCAAATGAACGACGCCCTTAGCATGATGGAGGACGTCGACAGTATGCATGTCGTCGAGACACCATGTGTCTCCGTCAACAGCATCTCCCACGACAGTGTCGATAGCGGTTACTTGTCCATCGTAACGCCGCAGACCAGCGGCTGCACTCCGAAGATAGCAGGTTGCCGGACGCGTTCGTCTTCTGGCGCGTTGCTCTCCGCCAAGAAGCACAGGTACCGTCCGGATCCTTTCCTATGTGAGAAAGTGCAGAGGCACCGCTCCAAACTCAATCATCGTCTAAACACCTCCGAGTTCCACAACACTCCAAATTGTCTCGTATCTGAGAACCCTGTCGAGCAAGATTCTGTACTGGAACCGTCGTGCACGCACGATAACCAGAATCTCAGTCTGGTACATTCTACTCCAAGCTGTGCCGACAATGAACTCGACAGGCCGCTCAGAAACAGAAGGAACTGGAGGACCACGGTGCCTATCACCCCTGCGTCCACAGACTTTCAAATTCTCTCACCACCCCCGTCGCCAGCGGTACCCTCTTCGTCTTACGTAGCCTCGGAGCCCATTTTGGAGGACGCGGAAATGAAGCTAGTCTGTACGCCGCGTGGTAAATCGCAACGCGTCACGACGCCACCGAAACTCAAAGTCTTGATCCCGCGAATCGTAATCTCGCCGATTCACACGAGAAGCAGCCCCGTCATAACGTCCGCGGATAACCGTAAATTGCGCGATCTGCGTATCACTGATTTGGCTGCCTCATCCGAAATTAAGCCCAAGAAGCTGGACTTTAGCCATCGCGGATTATGTGCGTCGCTACGGAATAGCCGAAGATTTACTTTTGATTATACGGGAAGAGAGAAGGTGGATTTCCTTTCTCTTCTTGGAGAAGAGAGCAATCATTTGAATCTCGTGTCGAAAATCCTATCTTTTCTCACGCCTCAAGATCTGTGCTCGGTCAGTGTGGTGTCCAAAGTGTGGAGGAAGATCTGCAAAAGTGACTCATGTGCCAATAAGCGAAAAATAAATTTTATCATGCGTAAGAACACCATCAAGGAAAACTTATGGCTGTTAGCGATGGCAAAGAAGGCGAAGCGCGAAGAGGATATACAGACGAGTCCTAAAAGCAGACGTTACGTTCGAAAAGGATACTTGCTGGATGTACAGAATTTGCTGCAAGTTCCATCACAGCCAAACAGTCCACCTGTATCACCGAGTAAAATTAAGTTTCATTCCTTCGTCAAGGTAAATCGATTAATTTCTTATACCATATACTTGAGTATATTATGATGAAATGGGACAAATCATGATTAATTTTTTTATTATTACTTCATGTTTTTTTTTTAACGCCTCAGAGCTGATGGTGGTAGTTTTATTCATTGGATCCATTCCATTATAATGTAAACCTCTTTGTCACAAATGTCTAATTTTCTTTATATCTGCAAATTTGGATTGTCTTTTTACATTTTTTACAAGTTATATTTTATACGAGTTCGCGGTTTGGGATTAATTAATGCCTTTAATCTTCCGTCTGTAATTATATATGTACTCTTTTTGTTTAGTTCAAGTTTTTTTATTAAAATAAGTTTTCAAAAAGTGTAAAAGAATTAAAGTTACTTTTCAACATCTCTATTTTAAATTACCAAATAGGTTTTTTAAAGAATGTCGGAAGAGGAAATCAGGAAATTTGAAAATAAAATTTTGTTTGTAATAAAAGAAACTCAGGTTGCGCGCGCGCAGACGGAGGATTAATTAATAAAAATTACATGGATTTTACAAATCTAGCGACAACAAGTGTCTATTTTACAAAGCTTAGCGTCAGCTCTGTGGTTATATTATAGAAATTTTATTTTTGAAGAAATAAATATAGCGATTCATATATATTCAAGTATCTATATATATATATATATATATAT